GCGGCCCGGCGCGCCCTGGTCGTGCCCGCCTGTGTCATCGGAAGGGAATGAGGCCCGGTGCCCGGTGCCTGCCTCCCTCCCCAGGGCCCTGGCTCCCCTGTCCCACATTCACCCATTCTGCCATGGCTAGGGACGCGGCGGCCACCTGGGGGGGACGCTGTGCCTCTGCAGCCCCCCTTCAGCCTGCAGATGAAGAGCCAGGCCCCCCCTCGTCTGGCAGCCGGGAAGGGGGAGCAAAGGAGAGCGGGAGGGCTGGGAGTCACCCGGGGACTGGGAGCGCCCAGATCTGAGCACTGAAAGCTCCTGGCCACTTCCTGCCCCCGTGTAGCCTGGGAGGGCCTCCTGGGAGCCCGAGCCCTGACCCCGGGTTTGCGGAGGTCCTGGGTCTCCTAAGCCACGTGCCTGCCCGGGAAGAAGCTGGTCGTCCTGTGATGGCCGCCGCTCTTTCCTGTCTTGCGGGAAGAGGCGGCCCTGAGGGGGGGACGGGGGCACCCCAGGAATCGCATCTTAATTCAGGGCCTTCCACACCCTGGCATTGAGCCCTCTTGCTGAATGAGCTAAAACAATGATTCTGAGGCCAGTGGTGGCACAGTGGTTAAGGCGGCTGTCCCACAGGGCTGCGTCTATGGTTCGAGTCCTGGACGTTGCTTGAAAAACACGCCTGGTGCGTGTGCGTGCATACCCAGAATCCCGAGAGGAGAACGGGGGCAAGAGCGTGCGGCGTGGCCATCCCCCAGGGGTGCCGCCTCACGTCCGCTCCCTCCGCCTCATTGTCTCCCCTCTACCGAGTGCATCTCTCTGCAGGAAATTCCCCATTCAGTTCTCCAGGGAGACCCGCATGACAGCCGGTTCAAGCCCTGCTCCCTCCAGACCTCCCCGGCCTGCTCCTAGTACCTGCTCTCCTGGGCCTTGGCCATAGCCGCGTGGCTTTGCTTCTTGTCGCGTGTGTTCCCATTTCCCTTAACTGTTTGGGAGCATCGAGGAAACCGTCTATGCCTGGGAAGTTTTCTTTTCTTTCATTTTTTAAAAAGGCTTTTGCCATAGGGTGCGTGCACTGGCTGGAGAGAGACAGAGAGGGGAAGTGAGAGAGCACCCCCCAGGGCGATGATCACCCTGCAATCCCTTCTCTTCCATTCTCCTCTCAAATTTTGGGCCCACATGCACACAGGCCCTGCGTGATTTTCAAGCCGCCGGGTTTGGGGCTCAAACTATGGTCAGCCAGGTGGGAGTCTAGTGCCTTAACCACCATACCCCCTGCTGGCTCTGGGAAATTTTCCATTACAAATTTAATTTACTTTCTTTAATAGACATCTCCATTCAGTGTCTTTAATAGATGAGCCTTTATTACATTAATAATATGTGGTGTGTTCATGTGTTTTCTTTTTTGTTTTAAATAAAGAGGGCTTTTGAAGAAGCTCATTTTTTATTTTATTCATGACAGAGGGCACATGTGCACTCATGAGGGAGAGGGAGAGAGAGAGAGAGAGAGACGTGCACTCACCGCAGGGTCTTGTCAGGTCACAATCCCCTCCCCCAGCCTGCCGGCTCATCGGGATCTTGGGCACGCATGCATATGCCTGGCGTGTTTCAAGTCAGTTGAGCTGGAACCCAAAACCACAGTTGGCTTTGTGGCTTCCAGTACTGCAGCTCAGTACGCTACTGAGTCACCAAGCCTGGGCCAATAGGGCTATTTAGACTACCTACTTCTTTATTATTATTATTATTATTATTATTTGCTATAGGCCACCAGAGAGAGGCAGAGAGAAAAAGGCAGAGAGAGAGAAACTGAGAAAGCAAGCCACCAGGTCCAGGACTCAAACCGTGATTAGCCATGTGGGAGTCCAGTGCCTTAACCACCAGGCCTCCTGCTGGCCCCAGACTACCTACTTCTTGAATGAGTGTTGATGCTCTGTGTCTTTCGGAGAATGTGTTGACCTAAGTTGTCAAGGTCTCTAGCGGAAAGCTGTTCATAATAGTCCCTCGTTGTCTTTGACAGACTGTAGGCTCTGTAGCGATGCCTCCCTCATTCCTGATATTGGTCACTCGTCTCTTCATTCCTTTTCTTCTCTGTAGGCTCTGTGGCGATGCCTCCCTCATTCCTGATATTGGTCACTCGTCTCTTCATTCCTTTTCTTCTCTGTAGGCTCTGTGGCGATGCCTCCCTCATTCTTGATATTGGTCACTCGTCTTGTCTTGATCTGTCAAGATCTAGAGCTCTCCTTGGACATCTTGGGTGCACTAACCCCACCCACCTTGCAGGGCCTTTGTACTCGCTGTTCTTCCTACTGGGGGCTCTTGGTGACCCCCCCACCCTTTGTGTGACCTGCCCTTTCACCCAGGTCTCAGCCCACGTGTCACTTCCTCAGAGACATCTGCTCAGACTACCCTGGCTCCAGGGACAGCCCATCCTTCTTCCTTGCGTGCTGCTCGAATTTCCTTCACAGCCCTCCATGGTGGGCCTTCTTGCTGTGCCTGTCTGTCTACGTGTTTGTTGTCTGCCTCCCAGTTACAGCACGAGGGTGGGGACCACATGCACCCCCAGCATCTAGTCCCAGTGTCCCGTGACCCTGACATGTAGCAGATGCTCTACAAACGCTTTATGAGGGAGTCAGTGAGTCCTGCTTTGGGGGATTCTCCCCAGACCTTGTACTGTATCTTCTTGGAACTGGAAAAGTTCTTAATCCCCAGAACCCTGAGCACTCCTCAGCCCCACACCAGGGAGCGCCTTGTCCCACAGAGAGGGGGGCAGTTGTCTGTGTTCCAGGCACCGACAGTGAGGCAGGGGCCATGCCTTAGACCACCCTCCTCCCAGCCCCAGAGCTGCCTCTGCACCTCCCTCCCTTCTCAAAAGCAGGAATTGGGTCCAGGAGATATGATTTTTGTTTCCCAGAGGCGGCTGATCCTTTTGAGGAAGATGGCATGGAGGGGCCAGGGCTGGGGCAGGGCGGTGTCTGTGTCTGACATGAAAGAATCGCTATGAGGGTGAGGGGAAGCTTCCCAAGAAGCCCTGAAAGGAGGCCTGTCTGCCCTCGGCACTTTGAGGTAGCTGCTAGTAACACCCACAGGTGGGGACACGAAGGCCCAGAGAGGTGGAGCAACTTGCCCAAGGTCACACAGCAGGGACTCCAGCCAGAGTTCCGTGCTTCTGATCACCCCGTTCCTCTACCCCTCGGAGAGAGAAAGGCACAGAACCCCAGTGACAGATGGGGAAACCGAGGCCCGGGGGCGCAGCAGGATTCGTCTGGGGTCAGCGGCCAGTCTGAACTAGGCCTGGACTTAGAAGCTGAACCCCTCGCCTGCTCTGGCCACCCGGGCCCTGCTCCCCGAGTCCTGGGCACCCTGCCGACGGAGCCAGCACAGGCAGCCTCGTGACAGCCAGGGCCTGGCACGGCCCCACTTCCTCCTCCTTCTCCAAGAGGAAGCAGCACTTCCTGTCCCGCTGTGCGGCCGCCAGGTGGGGACAGCTCATCAGGGGCTTCCCTGGTGCTGACCACCGCCTCGCGAGCAGCCCAGAACCCTGCGAGGCTCCCGAGGCTCTGGACAGCCGGGGATGTGACCAGTCCGTGAGTCATGGTCACGCTGTGGGTGTTGGCTGGGTTGGCTTTTCACTCTTTTTCTAATGAAACAGATGAGAAGAGGGAAAAAAACCCAGCACGTCCAATGAGACAAGGCAGCCTTCCAGTGGTGGGGTTTGCTCGTTCCCTGCACCTTGGCGAGGAGACCCGGGGTCTGAGCGTTCAAGGCAGAGGAGAGGCAGGAGGTCGAAGGGCCAGGCCCCGCCGTCGGCCGGTCCGATGGCGTCTCCGGCAGCACCGTGGGAGCTGTCTAGCTTCCAGGGTCTGGAACAACGTGACATGCGGTCAGGTTTGGTGGAGACCTGGCCCTGCTGTGCTGACCTCGTCCGTTTTACCGGCGAGGGACTCACGGGCCCAGAGTTACTCCCCGATCGTCCACCTGCTGTGTGACCCCAGGCTAGCGGCTGTACCTCTCTGGGTCCCCGTGTTTCTTGCACACGTGGGGCAACGGCAGGGAATCTGCTGAGGCCTGACTGAGGGGACACTCTGCCCTGGGCCCGGGGCCGGCCATGGAATAGCCGCGTCGGGGCCGGGCCACTGTGGCCACCGCTGCTCTTACTCAGGGGACGAGGGACTTCCGGTGTACTAACGTCAAAGCCCGGGGACTCTGGCCTCAGACAGGTCTGGGCTCGAGCCCCGGCTCAGCCGCTGCCAAAGCACATCCTTGCCGGATCCCTGCTTCGGTTTCCCCACATGAGAAACGCGTTCGTCGGATGCGGCTGCTTGTCAGGCAGAGGCCACATGGAAGGTTCAGGTTCGATTCTCGGCCTACCCTAGAAAGCCAGCGCGACTGCACACGCCCATGGTCCCGGCTCCTGGGGAGCCTGAGGCAGGAGGATCGCGACACAGTGAGATCCGGTCTGCACGCACACGCACACGCACACGCACACGCACCGCAGGACAGAAAACGCAAAGGAGAGCGAGGCCAGGAGCCAGCCATCCCAGGGCAGAGCCCGGGCGGGGCCACGCATGGCACTCCAGGCGGCGGCTCGCGGCCACCCTGGGACCCAGACCTCCAGTGCTCTGGCCCAGTGGAAGGTGTCCCCGGCTCCGGGAGCCTCCTGGGACCCGGCGGGGGTTCTGTCTCTCACTATCACAGCCACGCGCTCGGCTGGGGGTTGTCAGGGCCGGAGGCCACGTCCCAGCTCTGTCCCTGTCTCTTGATCCAGCGCGTCGGGCCGGCCTGCGGGCACTGCTGCCTCGCGGTCCCGTTCTGCTGTCTGGAGCCTTGGCATCCGGAAGGACTTCGGACGGACAGACAGAGCAGCTGAGATGGCCCCAGTCCCATCGCCTGCTCCCAGCTCCCTCCCCCCAATCTTCCCTGACGCCAGACACTCCTCGCATTGAGCGCTCCCACGGGCACGTTCCCGGGACGCACTGTCCTCCAAGGTTTACTCAGTTATTTCTTCCATGAGAGAGACAGAGACAGAGAGAGGCACCCCCGAGGGTCCCCACGCTGCAGTTCTCCCACTGCCCCAGGCAGACTGGCCCAGGGGGACACGCACAGGGGGTCCTGGGACGTCAACTGGGGACCTTCCCAGGTGGGCTCAGTGCCGTGGAGCGCCGTGTTACCGCCGCGCCACCCCGGACACTACCACGAGCCAGACGCAGGTCTGGGCTTGAGCCTCTCTCTTTTTCTTTTTTTTGGAGAGGTTTTTGCTATAGGGCGCGTGCGCTCACCAGAAAGACAGAGAGAGACAGAGACAGAAAGTGAGAAATCACCCCCAGGGAGGATGGCCACACCGCAATCCCTTCTCCTCCATTCTCCTCTCAGGATCTTGGGCATGCACGCACACACGCCCGGCGTGAGTTTAAGCCACCGGATCCGGGACTTGAACTGCAGTCGACTACATGGGAGTCCAGCGACATAGCCATTACGCCAACTGCTGGTCCCGTTATTATTCTTTTTTAAATGCCAAAGAGTGTGTGCTCACAGGAGAGACAGAGCTGGTGGGAGGACGAAAGCACCCATGGGGCTGGGCATGCCATAATCCCTTCTCCGCCAGGGCCAGGATTCAAACCATGGTGAGCCAGGTGGGATCTGGCTTTCTTAGCCACTCGGCCACGGGGCCAGCCCTAAACTTGTACTTTAATGACGTTTTCCGTGAACTTCTTAACGTCTTTATTTGCATAGACTTATAATTTACGTAATGCATGATAGTACTTCGTGTGATAGATCAGTATATGTTTATTTTATTTGTTCATTTTGCCATAGGGCCTGTGCTCTCACTGGAGAGAGACAGAGAGGGGGAAAGTGAGAAAACATCCCCCAGGGATGGCCACACTGCAATCCCTCCCCTGCACTCTCCCCTTGGGATTTGGAGCACACATCAACGTGCCTGGCATGACTTTCAAACTGCCGGGTCCAGGCCTCGAAGCGTGGTGAGCCACGGCCACGTGGGAGTCCAGAGTCTTAACCGCCACGCCACCTCCCGGCCCCTGTGTAACTTTTTAAGCACGCCCGTCACCACCGCGCCGGGAGCTGGCCCCTGCCTTTCTGTACCGAATGCAGGTGTACCCGCTTCCTCCCGAGCAATCGCGAGTGGATTGGGAATGATTTCAGATGCAGCCCCCTCGGTGTGGCGGGGTCCCTGAAGAGAGACCCGCCAATGAGGACAAGCCGGGCGCCCCCAGTGGCCTCAGCTAATCTGCTCCCTTGGCCTCTCCCCAGTCTGACATGGGGATGGGGACTCAGAGAGGAAGCGGCCCGGGCTGGCCACAGGCCCGGGACGGCCCTCCCACCTCGCACCTCCCACACTCCCCCCGGCCCCCGCTCCGTTTCCTCTTTCTGGCCTCCCGGTCACCCTTCCCTTTTTCGGGCTGTCCCAGTTCCTCCCACACCAACCCCTAGCCCTCATCCCTGGAGCAGGAGGGGTCCCATCGCCCTGTCCCATCCTGGAAATGCCTCGTGTCCCCAGGAACAGGCCGGCTCTTTCCAATTGGCATGTGACGGGGAGCAGAGGGACGCTCTTGGGGTTCCAGGGCTGGACAGCGGAGCCAGGTTGTCTGGGTTCCAAAGGTTCCATGTCGTCATCACGGTTGGCCATGGGGGCTCTCTCCCTCTCCCTCCAGCCCCCTGGCTCTTTCTCTGGAGTGTGCACACGCCCGCACTGAAATAACTGCAAAACCGTAGCAAACAAAGTATTAGAGGGACCAGCAGTTGGCGTAATGGCTATGTCGCTGGACTCCCATGTAGTTGACTGTGGTTCGAGTCCCAGACCCGGTGGCTTAAACTCACGCCAGGTGTGTGTGCGTGCGTGCCCAAGATCCTGAGAGGAGATTGGAGGAGAAGGGATTGTGGCGTGGCCATCCTCCCTGGGGGCTGATTTCTCACTTTCTGTCTCTCTCTCTCTGTCTTCCTGGTGAGCACACGTGCCCTATAGGAAAAACCTCTCCAAAAAACAAAAGTATTAGAAATAGAAAAACTGTATGACACATCAATTTTTTATGTTTTTCTTTTAAAGGAATTCTTGACGTAATTAATTTATTATCACTTATTATTTTTTAAATTTGCCCAGAGAGAGACAGAGCGAGCGGCAGTGAGAAAGCCAGCCCTCCGGTCTGGAATGAGAGCCGCTGTCGACCACGCGGGAGTCCGGCGCCCCAACCCCATGCCACGTGCCTGTCGGTGACATGTGAATCTCGCACACTGTGTAAAAGTAGCTGGCCTCGAGCCAGCAGGGGGCGTGGTTTAAGGTGATGGATCCCGCGTGGCCAACTCCATGGTTCGAGTCCCAGACCAGTAGCTTGAGAAACGTGGCAGGCTTGTGCGTGTGCAGAGACCCTGAGAGCGTGGAGAGGGGCTGTCGTGTGGCCATCCCCCTGGGGGTGAGTTCTCGCTCACCTCTCTGTCTCTGTGTCTCTGGTGAGCACACGCCTGCTATGACAGAACTCTATAAATGAACAGATCGCGGGCCAACTGGACCGGCTCCCGGGCGGGTGGTCGGTCAGCCCTCACCGGGGCTGGGCAGGCAGGTCGCCTGGGGCCCACGTTTCACACCCGGGGACACCGAGGCACAGGGCGGTCAGGTCAGAGCCAGGCGCCGGCCGCTCTTGGATTCGGCCGCTGGGGCCTGGTGGGGTGGGTCTCGGTCCCCGGAAGCCAGCAATGGCGTCCCCCGCAGGCCCGGGCGAGAGCGGCAAGAGCACCTTCATCAAGCAGATGCGGATCATCCACGGCGCTGGCTACTCGGAGGAGGACCGCAAGGGCTTCCGGCCCCTGGTCTACCAGAACATCTTCGTCTCCATGCGCGCGCTCATAGAGGCCATGGAGCGCTTCCAGATCCCCTACCGCCAGCCCGAGAGCAAGGTAGGCCGGCGGGCCCTGCGAGGGGGCGGCCCCCGCCGCCCCTCTCCCTTCCCACATCCGATCCGGTCTAGGTTCCGCATCTGAGCTGCTCGAGGGGCACACAGAGCCTGCAGCCGAGACCCTCCTCCAAGGACTGAGGGTGGCAGCCTGCAAGTGCCTGGCGTGGCAGTTAAGGGGCTGGTCTCCCACACGGCTGGCCGCGGTTCAAGTCCCGGACCCGGCAGCTTGAACATCACTCCAGGCACGTGTGTGTGCGTGCCCAAAATCCCAGGAGGAGAACTGAGAAGGGGCTGCAGCGTGGCTGTCCCCTTCTCACTTTCCCTGTCCCTGTCTCTCTCTGGTGACAGCATCTGCCCTGTGGCAAAAAACCTAAGGGGAAAAGGCCCTGATGCAGGCTGGCCCCCATGGCATGGTGGGCAGGGCAAGCTGACCCTGTATGACCGACTGCGGGGTTTGCGACCCGGACCCACTGGCCTGAGAAGCACACCGTGTGTACCCAAAGTCCCCAGAGGCAGGCGAGACGGGGGAGAAGGGGTTGTGGCGTGACCATTCCCTGCCCAAGGGGAAGTGCGTTCCTCGTCTCCCTGTCTGAGGGAGCGCCTGCACCCTCCAGCAACCCCTAGACAAGGGAACGAGTGCTAAATACACGAAAGCCGGTGCCCTCGAGACAGCGCCAGCTGCAGCGTGGGCTGTGGGGCGTGGGCACTGTGGCTCACCTTCACCTCGACGGCCCCGCGCCTTTGCCAGGGTGAGAAACCAGTGGCTCAGGGGGTTGAAGTGGGGACTCCTTTCTGTAGGGTCCGTTCCAGGACCCCGCCGGGTGCCTGAAGCCACACTACGACCACTCCTCACATAAGCTATGTTTTTAAAGAATTATTTATTTTATTTTATTTTATTTTTTGGAGAGGTTTCTGCTATAGGGTATGTGTGCTTGCCAGCCAGACAGAGAGAGACAGAGAGACAGAAAGCGAGAAATCACCCCCCAGGGGGGATGGCCACGCCACAACACAATCCCTTCTCCTCCATTCTCCTCTCGGGATCTTGGGCACGCATGCACACGCGCCTGGCATGAGTTTAAGCCACCAGGTCCGGGACTTGAACTGCAGTCGACTATGTGGGAGTCCAGCAACATAGCCATTATGCTAACTGCTGGTTCCCGAGAATTATTTATTTAATTTTTTGTTATCATTTTAAAACTTTTGCTGTAGGGCACATGAACTCACCAGAGAGAGAGAGACGTGGAGGAAAAGTGAGAAAACAAGCCACCAAGTCCAGGGCTTGAACCACAGTTGGCCATGTGGGAGTCCAGCACCTTAACTACCATGCCACCTGCCGGGCCCCGTGTGTGCTGTTCTTGTAGTCTGATAACTGGGATGGCTACTCAGCAGGTATCGGGCGGGTGGCGCACACAGCACAGGGACGCCGGATGAGGCATAGTTCCTGTCTGGGGTGGGACGGAGCATGATCGTGAGAGAGCCCATGAGCTCCTCAAAACAGCATGCGATTCCACATGTGGGGATTGCTCTGCGCTGGAGTTTTCCATCGAGGGTTTTGGACCGTGGTTAAGTGTGGAAGGGCTTGGGGAGAGGAGAACGTTGGTTGATCTGCTGGATGCTAAGGGACGTGTCTGCTCAACACCAAAACTATCTTCCAAGTCTCACTCCCAGCACCAGAGCGTGCAGAGTTCCGGCTGCTCCACGCTGCCATCAGCGTTTGGTGCTGTCATTACCGGTAGCCAGCCTGGTGGGCGTCAGTAACGCCTCACTGTGCTGTCTCCCTGCCCAACAAGGAGAGCGAACAGCTCTTCAGATGCTCGTCGGACACTTGAATATCCCCTTGTGAAGCCCCTGTGCAAATGATGTGACTATTTTTAAATTTCATTTTAAAAAAATATTTATTTATTTAGTATCAGTATTTTTCAACTCGACCAGAGAGTGAAAGTGAGAAAGTGAGAAAGCAATCCCCAGGTCCAGGACTTGAACCGTGGTCAGCCATGTGGGAGTGTCCAGCCCCTAATCCCCCATGCCACCTGCTGGTCTCCTATCAGCCTTTTTCTTACTGATTTTCAGCAAATTCTCTGTGGCTTCTGGATACAAGTGCTTCGGTAATCTCATGTTTTGCAAGTATTTTCTCTGCATCTACAGTTTGGATTCTCACTGTCCTCATTCATGGTTTTAACGGAGTCCGACCTGCCCGTCCTTCCCGGCTCATTCCCTGGTGTAGTCCGCTTAAGAAATCACTTTCTGGGCTAGCTGCTGACGTAGTGGCCAGGCAGCTGGAGGCCACCTGCGACGTCCTCGCTCTGGACCTGTGGCTTGGGACTCTCGCGGGTTATGTGTGCACACGTCCAAATCGCAAAAGGAGGGAGAGCTGAAAAAGACGGGGGGCTGGGAACCAGCAGTTAGCATAGTGGCTATGTCGCTGGACTCCCACGTAGTCGACCGCAGTTCGCGTCCCAGACCCGGTGGCTTAGAACTCACGCCAGGTGCGTGTGCGTGCATGCCCAAGATCCCGAGAGGAGAATGGAGGAGAAGGGATTGCGGCGTGACCATCCCCTCTGGGGGGTGATTTCTCGCTTTCTGTCTCTCTGTCTCTGTCTCTGTCTTTCTGGCAAGCGCACGCGCCCTATAGCGAAAACCTCTC